TATATATATATATATATATATACACAAAATGTGTGTTAATCTACTGTGTTATTTTTAAAGCCTCTGGTTGACAGGCCATTAGTAGTCAAGCTTCAAGCTTTGGGGGAGTGAGAAATTAGGCATGGGTTTTTGACTGTGTGGGGTGTCAGCACTCCTAGCCCCCATGTTGTTCAGGGGTTAGCTGTTTTCCTTCTCTTCTGCTCCCTTTCCCCTCATCCCAAGTAAGTGCTTCTCTGCTTTCTGTCACTATAGATTAGTTTACATTTTCCATATATTTATATACATGGAATCATGCATCATGAAGCCTTTCTTTGCTTTTGCTTTGTTTTTGTTTTTTAGATATGACTTTTTTCACTCAGCAAAATTATTTTGGGGTATCTCCATCTTTTTATGTGATTCAGTAACTCCTTTTTATTGATAAGTAGTATTCCATTGCTCAGCTATACCACAGTTCATTTATCCATTAACTGGCTGATGAACATTTTTGTTTCTAGTTTGGGGCTGTTACAAATAAAGATGCTAGAGACATTGACATATAAGTCTCATGGGTAAATACCTAGAACTTGAAGGATTAGGTCATGTGACAGGTATATATATATATATATATAGTGAACTATTAAAGAAATGCCAAAAGGGTTATATCAGTTTGTGTTTCCACCAGTGTTACATGAGAGTTCAGTTACTGCACATCTCGCTGACATTTGGCATAAACAGTCTTCATAATTTTAGCCATTCTAAAAGGTGTGTAGCAAGATCTCATTATAATTTTATTTTGCATTTCCCTAACAAGTACAAGTGCTGAACATCTTTTAATGTGCTTATTTGCCACGCTTATTGTGCTTTGGTGATGTATCTTCTTAACATCTCTTACCCGTTTTTTTTTAGTTGTTTGTTTTCTTATTATTTAGTTTGAAGAGTCCTTTATGTATTCTGGAATATGAGTACTTTATCAGAATTATAATTTACAAAGATTTTCTCACAGTGAAAAAGCCTGTCTTCATTTTCTTAATAGTATAATACAAAGATCAAAAGTTCTTAATTATGATGAAGTCCAATTGATCCATATCTTTCTTTTACAGATCATGCTTTTCTTGTATTGTGTAAAAAATAAAAATCTTCATATAATCCAAGGTCGTAAAGATTTTATCCTAAAAGTGTCATAGTTTATGCATTACATCTAGCTCTATGATCCATCTACTCTGAGTTTTTTTATGGGGTGCAGGATACAGATAAAAGGGAAGGGTTGTTTTTTTTTTCATATAGATATCCTATTTTTCCAGCTTTACTTGTTGAAAAGACTATTAATATACATATATATCTCCTTTGGTAACACCAGTTATACATGCCTTATGCTCCTTGATGTTGTCCCAGAGCTCACTGAGACTGTTCATTTATTTCAGTAAATAAATTTTCTTCCTGCTTTTCATGTTGGATAGTTTTTATTGCTGTGTCTTCAGGTTTATTAATGTTGTCTTCTGCAATGTCTAGCCTGCTTTTAATCATATCTGGTATACTTTTCATCTCAGATATTTTGGTTTTCATCTCTGGTAATTTCAATTTTTTATATCTGCCATGTTTCTGCGTAACATGCCTAATCCCTCCTCCAGTTTCTTGAACATATGAATACAATATGTAAAGTTGAAAATACCTGTTTTAATGTCTATGTCTACTAATTCAATCATACTTGTCATTTATAGATGACTCTTAATTTTATTAATTTTTCTCCACATTTTGGGTTTATATTCCTGCTTATATAAGCATGCCTGGTCATTTTTGATTGGCTGCCAAAAATCATGAATTTTACCTTGTTGAGTAATAGATATTTTTATATTCTTAGAAATATTCTTAAGCTTTGTTTTAGGATACTTAATTTACTTGGGAGCAGTTTGATCCTTTCAGATCTTTCTTAGATTTGTTAGGTCAACGAGTAGGATTAAGTCTAGGGCACAACCCTTCTGAGTACTCAGTACCTCATGTATTAGGAAGTTTTTCACATATTCTGTTAAGAACAGAAAGTATTCCTGTCCCTATATGACCTGATATTTTTCCCTATAATTCTTATTCTTTACCTGACTTGTATTTCTCATATATATGCACTGATCAGTACTCAGCTGAAGACCTGAGGGAGTCCTCTGCAGTTCTCGAGCACTTTATCTGTGCAGCCCTTTCCTGAATCAGAAGAATCACTGATTACTCTGTTGTGTGCACTGTAGCCACTTTGATCTCTCTGATCTCCCAGCTCATCTCCTCAACTTGGAGACTACCACGTACACTTTCCCTTCCTGAGTTACAACTTGGAAACATTCACTGTTCAGTTAGCTTGGGCAATTGTGTAGCTCATCTTGTTTATTTCCATTTTTTAGGGATCACCATCTTCTTTGTTGTTTTAAACATTTCATATATTTTGTTCAATATTTTAGTTTCAGGTTGGAGGGTCCTTGTTGGTTCATCTTAGAAGTAGAAGTCATTTATCTTTTATTACCACATGAATATTATTTATTAATATTAACATTTATGACATAATACTTTTATATTTGTATTCACTTATATTATAAATAATTTAATTTTTGAATAGGTGAATCATTCCAATTGTTCAAAATATAAGAAATAAATAGGTACTCAGTTGAAATCTTCTCAGTCCTCCTAAATCCACTACCAACCTAATTATCAATCCCCCATAAGAAACCATGCTATTAGTTTTTTTCAGAGTTCATTTATTCATATGCAAGTATATAAAAATTACACTTATTCCCCTCTACCTCCTTTTTCATGAAAAGGTTACGTAGTATACACCCTATTCTGATCTTTTTTTTTTTTTTTTTACTTAACCATGTGTCTTGAGGATCTTATTGGTACATAGACTGCCTCTTCAAACACATCACCTCTCCACCTTTTACAGTAGCCGCATAGTGTTGGATTACATAGATTTACCATATTTGTTTAACCAATTTCTTATTGTTAAGCAGTTAGATTACTTCCAATCTTTTGCCATTAGGAATAATTCATTCAGTTGTTAATAGTCTTGTACATAAATTATTTTGTATGTCTGAGCAACATTGCTATTTGAATACATTCCCAGAAGTGGACTACTGGGTCAGAGGGCTTTGTGTTTGTGATTTTGGTAGCTATTGCCAAATTGTCTTCCAAAGGGATTGAACCAAATCTTCCACCAACCTGTTAGGAAATTGCCTATTGGCCCATAGTCCAGTCAACAGAATATTTGGATTTTGTCTAATCCAACAGGAAGAAAATATTATTGTGATAGCTTTAATTTGTACTTCTTACTCTAAATGAGTTTTGATATCTCCTCCTATGTTTAAAAGCCATTTTGTACCTCCTTTCCCTGTTCCATCTAATTTAGGTTATTGGTCATTCAGTTCTTTGTTTTAGTGATAAGAGTATGAGATTAAAATATTTTGATTGGTTGTGTTTAGTCATTTTTTTAAATAAATGAACATCTACATCCATTTCTATTGGCAAGACACTTTAAAATGCATTTAATAAAACATAATTGTTAAATCTAGTCAAATCTGTAATGATTTTAAGATTATAAAATGCTTAGATCAAAGGTAGGCTAATTGATTTTTCAGATACATTTTCAAAGTTCAAAGTAAAACCAGGTTAATCTGAGTTTTTGAGCCTGACTATAATGCTCCAAATCTTTTTTGATAAGTGAAAAAGTAACAATGGTTTCTTCTAGTACCAGAGACAGATTCTTGGTCTCATCACAAAAAAGAATTCAAGCTTTAGGAGTTTGTTGGGAAATAAGTTTAAAGACAAGTGAAAGTACACACTCAAGGGTTGAGTACTCCCCTAGCTTACAATAGGGAGCTTTTTTATGTAAAGGAAGATTAGTATTTACTAAGTGGGACTAGGTTTCAGAGGGAATGGTGGAGTTTTCTGAGAGTTTGGGCTTACTCCACCCTCATGCCAGGTTAGGGAGTTTTTTACTGTATTTCATTCTCACTGGAACTGTCATAGCAATTGCCCCCCATGAGGTGGGTCAAAACCACAGTGCTAATGTCAAGGTCATGGGATATAATGTATTTTGGGGTGAATTTTGTAGCTTCTCCTCCATTTTGGAACCAGCTGGTTTTGGCCGGTTGCTATTCCCACTCCACACTTCTGAGGACAGCTTACATGGAATGTGTAGAATGTAAACTAGCTGGCCAAAGTCCCCACTCCCGTCCCTGCTCATATCTGGCTGTCTGTCTACTCTAACATCTCTAGAAGAAATTTATATTTGAGAGATGTGGTTTGTTCCACAATAATGACATTTCCAGAACAATTTAATGGAAGTAGGGAAGTGAGTATTTGAAATTTGGACTATCTCAGTAAATCTGAGTTTTAAGGTTAGAAAATATAGTCTGTCCCACAGATAAGAATGATAAACACATTCATGCTTAAATGGCAGGATGCTCTTTACTCTTCATTCAGTGCAAATTTTTTGAGAAGAAATGCTTTATGATCAGTATTTTTAAAACTTTGTATACCATCCTGTTTCTCAGTCTCATCTCAAACACTTTTTTTTGCTTCTTCATTTATAATTTCAGGTATTATGAACAATTAATTAGGGGAGTAGTTGCTTTACCAAATGGGTGAAGTAATAAAATGGACTAGTAGTTTGTTTATATTTTGTTAATTATCAGTTAAAGTCTGGCTTTATTTATGCAATGAAAAATATATTTTTAGAGTTGCATCAATATGGAGAGGCATCCAGCACACGCCTGTCAGGTATGGTGTCATTCCAGGACATTCTCTGGTACCATTTTTCTGTCTTATCAGCCAACTAAATTTACCTTAATTAAACTAAATCATTTGGGATTTCTTTCCATTGCCAAAACATTGAACTGCATGCCATTATCAAGTTAGTCAGTTGTCACATGTTAGCAATCTTAATATTGTTTGTGTGCTTTTGCTTTTTAGATATTTCTAAATTGTATGTCAGGAAAAAAATTATTGGCTTACTGATTTTAGAAAGCATTAATATTGAGCTCTTCCAAGCTATTGTAATGTTCTGAATGCTTTCTATCAAAATCATCTAACTGTAAATAACTAAAATTTTGTCACATTACCAAATTTAGTTGTTTTAAATTATTTTAGTATGCATCCATCACATTATATTTTACCACACTAATAATATAATGTATGTACTTGCATTATTTGAATATCGTGTTTGATTATATTTATGGAAGTATGATAAACAAATAAAAAATAGCATTGTTTTGACTAATTATGTGCTTTCCTGCTTGCTAAAGTTTACCTGTTAATTAATGCTAATTACTTAGAAGATAAAATCAGAATTTCTATAAATATGTGTGAAAAAAAGTTTTAAGACAATAATCAGTTTGAACTCACCATCAAATACTGAAAATGCTTTGAGTTCAAATTAAAGTGAATAAGCAAAATATCTCATATATTGGCAATCATAATTAACAGTGGTGGTAACTAACATACTTGTACTAATATAACAGAGTTTTTAAAAATTTGTATAGTTAAAATGAATTTAAATTTGAAAATAACTTCAAGGCTTTTTCAGTATTTGTCTTACAGTTAACTTAATGCTGATTATTTAAATTGGAGCAAGATGATTCCAAAACAGTGTTTTTTCCACACTCGCTTTGGCCAGTGATTAAATCTATGTCATTTAAAATATATATATATATACATACACTAGTTATGAAAGTTGAGTTTTTAATTTTTGGTAAGTTTACTAAATATATTTTAGTCTGACTTCAACATGAACTCTTACTATTTAATTTGGTTTCAGGACCCTTTAAAAAGTGAGTCCTAGTATATCTGAAATATATGCCTTAAAATCAACTGCATATATTGTTTCAGTATGTAAATTAAAAAGCAGTATTTATTCACAGAAATGATGCAGTGTTGTTTGGAAAATCATGTGAAAAGATTGGGGAATAGTGTAAGAATGGTGGAATAAAATGATTGTCAAACTTTTCATTTAAGATTAGAAGTTAAAATAGTAACAAAATTTTAATGTAGTAAGTACTAATGTAGTATTATGTTTCTGATACCAAATTAATGTTTTAATAATTTGATTTTTATTTGAGAAATAAAAGTTCCTTAGCTGAAGTACTAAATACATTGTCAATTATAATTAAAACACAGTGGTTTGAAAGATTTCAAAAATCCAGTGACAGATGATACATCTATACTGTTTTTAATTGTTCTGTGTGTTTTAGGTATTTGTGAAATGTCATTTTGATTATAATCCATACAATGATAACCTGATACCCTGCAAAGAAGCAGGATTGAAGTTTTCAAAAGGAGAAATTCTTCAGATTGTAAACAGAGAAGATCCAAACTGGTGGCAGGTTAGTATGCTCTAAAAATTTTCGCAACTGCTTTTTTATTTTCAATCTTAGATCTGGCCAATATCTGAATATTCAGGAAGAAGGTCTTAGCATTTGTCCCAATGATTTTTCCTGCATGAACAGCTCCTGCTTCATGGCTGCTAATTTTGTGGACAGAAGACCAAATTGAGAGGGAATTTGTGAGTAGCTGTTAATAAATGCAGAATTAACTAGCCTGTGATGCTGTCCTATTGGTTTAGGGATTAGAACAATTGGTTCTTCCACATGAATGATTGCAGTAAAATATGGTTTTGGGCAAGTACAACTCACTTGGGGTATCTCTTTTCAGTGTTCAGTCTCTGTTGGTTTTGTTTAACTAGGGGTTTGTTACTATCAGTATAGTAGTCTTTCTCTTGTCTCCTCTCCTTCTGTATACATTCATAGTAAATAAAATATCATTTCTTGAGCTCTTAAACTATTTGCCTACCTCTTCTCAGTTATTGAGAAATGAAGGTTTGCTTTATGATCAGTGGTATATGGTCATGGATTGAAATGTCTGTATTTGAAAGGGATGTGTGTTACCACTGTATTTCCCAGCCTCTCTCCCTATTTTCCATATCTGTGTGGTCATGTTCCTTTTCCTTTCCCCTAATACACCTTTCAGAAATTTCTAGCAGCAGTAATCCATCTGTTTTTGTCATCGTATACCTCAGCTAATAACCCTAGTATTCAGAACTGGAGAAACTGACAAATCAAAAAATCTAAAATCTCTTAAACTGTCAGAGCAAATGAGAAAGAGTAAGGTGTGAGAGAAAAGGACCCAGGACCTAGCACTAAACTCTGAATTAAAACAAGATGTTAGTAATTCACATTAGCCCTGATAAGTTATATTGACTTCTAAGAGGGAATGAATTATAAAAATGAGAATATCCTTACTAATGTGTCCTTAAATTTAAGACATTATTATGTACAAGTGCACTAAGTGGTGAGAGAACTAAGAAATGAGTAAACAGAAACCATAATATTTAAGACATTTCTGCAGAATTTCTTATAACTCTCATCTAAAAAAGTAATCTGCTGCTTTTGGTTGTTCCCTTTATTGAACTTTTCCATTTTCTCTTTTTCCCTGCTCTATGAATTCCATTCTTGATTTTCCCTTCTCATCCTGTCACCATTATCTCAGTCTTTCTGCATTTTGTGGTCTGTTACTTTAATTCTATTTTTCAGGATTTTAATTGCTAAAAAATGGTAACAGGTTTTCTGTGCCAACTGTAAGGATCAAGTCACTAACTTTGACTGCCACTAGCAGCCAGTTCTCCAGCCACTGTTTTAAAATGGCACTTCTTTGGGTTTTGTTTTAAAATGTTTCTTAACAGCAAGTAAAGTTTTACCCATTTTAAACTTACTACCTCTTTTCATACCGAGATTCCTGGTTGCATGAATGAAACTCTCCATTCTTTTTCCAATACTTTCCTTTTGGTTGTTGATTTGGTTTCAGCAAATAACCGGCACAGTAGGATTAAAATTGATAGTAAATACCTTATTAATGGTGTCACATGACAACCTATTAAAACATAGAGTAACATTTACTCCTTTCCATTCTTTGATTAACTTAGTGTCATAAATAAAAGGGTTTAGTAAAGAGCCTGTATACCTTTGTATTTTGGTTCTGAAATTGCATACCAAGTAGCAGATTGATTTAGCTGCCAGATGGTTCCCAGTGCTAACGTGTTGTGTGTGAGTCTTAACTGACAATGTCATGTATTTAAATCTCAGGGTCAGTTTTTAGGAGCAAATGTGATCATTTTTTATTGAGTACTGCTTGTCCTTTTTATTAGAATATGGTCTCAAATTTTGGTCACTGAGATATACAATTCATTAATTTGATTCTAGGCTAGCCATGTAAAAGAGGGAGGAAGCGCTGGTCTCATTCCAAGCCAGTTCCTGGAAGAGAAGAGAAAGGCATTTGTTAGAAGAGACTGGGACAATTCAGGTGATGAGCTCCACACAATATGTAACAAGTAGTCCTTTGTGGCCATCTTTCTTTGCCTCTTTCATCTGAATTAGCAAATGAATTTATTAAAATGAATCTAGAATTAATCCCTCCTATCTGTTTTATTGTATCTTTCTCAAAAGTAAACTTTTTGATCCCTTTCTGCCATCTGCTGGTATAGTATCAAAATAGAGTGGCTCAATTCGCCCCTGCCCCCTTCTGCTTTGTAGGACACAACACTGGGAAAGTAATTCTCCCACCCCTATAGAATACTGTAGGGCAGTTTTAACTTATACTGTTTAAGTTATATTTGTCTTATCATCCTTCAGGACCTTTTTGTGGAACCATAAGTAGCAAAAAAAAGAAAAAGATGATGTATCTCACAACCAGAAATGCAGGTATATTTTAAATATTTTTTGAGAAGTCCAAATGAAGTAACTTTATATTTTTGATCAATGGGGCATAAACTTTAAATATATAATTTGAATGAATGTAATTCAGATTAGTACCCATCTGCAAGGGGCTGCTTTATGAACGCATGGTATAATATAATATAAAGACATTATTTAAATCCTAATATTTATTTTATATACTTATACTATCACCAAAGTGCTTTATGAATATAATTGTTTACAATAAAATGAACTGGTTAGGATTTATGTTTGCATTAATGAAGGAACAATGTTATCACTGAAACTGTTCAGAGAATTTTTTATAGTAATTTATATCATTTCTAAAGAGCAAAATGCCTTTATGAAGATGTTTGAAGAGGTATGATGAAGGACAACTGTATTTGGCCTAGCGTCATTTATGATACTTTTGAAAAAACAGTATGGACCAAACAAATCTTAGTCTGATCTAGTAGGATTTTTTCTTAAATCTTTTAGACTCAAAGAAAGATAAGTATAACAACTACCATAGTTATCCTGGTCAGTTATAGCAGCTGATAGGAATACAATGCAGCTGTTTGAATCAGAAGACTCTGGAGGCTCACAGAAAGGAATTGACAATTTTAAAGAATTTTCTTGATTTTAGAGCTGGTGTACTATATTGGTAATAAACTAAATAGCACTATAAAGGAAATAAGGAAATAATATAATAACAATAAAGGGATTATAGACTCTCCCTTAATATTGGTTTAGCCTATTGTAGAAAAAATGTGTTGAGAGTTGCTATAAGGATAATAACCTAAGGAAGAAATGTTATTACCCTAGGCTGAGAATTGTAACCATAATAATAGCTAATATAGTATTTCATATCCAGTTTGGCCTTTTTTTTCATTAAATATATTTCTTTAAAACTTTATTACAAAATAAGAAAATTTGTGATTTTCCCATTACCTAAGATTTTAGTTTCAGAATGTGTTTCTACTGAAAGTAGTTTGAATCCAATATTTTATTTTATACATGTATAAATATCTGTATACTTTCTCATATGCATTTTATTAATCAAATTGGTAATTTGCAGTCACTACATAGTATTTATTCACCTATATTATTGGAAGGACATACTCATTCCATGAAACTTACTTAGGCAGCCTCAGTAGGTATACTGTTCTCTTCCATATTTAATTGATAGTTTTTAGCTGAATAAACTATATAAATTAATTTTCAGTTTGGTTACTTATATTAAAGGAATTATTTCTACTGATGAATTGATAAGAAAGAGGTTTAAATGTTTAAGTTAGCTGACAGAGATAAAGCACAGATATTTTTCTAGCTTGGTTAGACAAATTTTTAAGGGCAAATTAATGGAAACATGTTTAAATCAAGATAGTAAAATAATTTGTATTTTACCAAATTTATAAAAACATCTGTACTAAGTGGGTACAATTCAAGTGATATTTAGCTATGAGGACAGCTAAGCCATTACTGAGCAGAATAACAGAGGTTTTTCATCCTTATAAAAAATACTGAATATGATGTTTTCCCATTTCCTTTTTACATTTAGAATTTGATCGTCATGAAATCCAGATATATGAGGAAGTAGCCAAAATGCCTCCCTTCCAGAGAAAGACATTAGTATTGATAGGAGCTCAAGGTGTGGGACGGAGAAGCTTGAAAAACAGGTTCATTGTGTTGAATCCCACTAGATTTGGAACTACAGTGCCATGTAAGTTTTCTGTTTTCTATGCTATTTAATTGTCAGTAAAGAGTAAGGGGAGGAAAGATTATTATTATTATTTTTTAAATTTTATTTTGGTATCATTAATCTACAATTACATGAAGGACATTATGTTTACTAGGCTCCCCCCTTCACCAAGTCCCCCCAACATCCCTGTTCATAGTCACTGTCCATCAACATAGTAAAATGCTGTAAAATCACTACTTGTCTTCTCTGTGTTGCACAGCCCTCCCAGTGCCCCCACCACACTATACATGCTAATTGTAATGCCCCCTTTCTTTTTTTCCCACCCTTATCCCTCCCTTCCCACCCGTCCTCCCCAGTCCCTTTCCCTTTGGTGACTATTAGTTCATTCTTGGGTTTAGTGCTTCTGCTGCTATTTTGTTCCTTCAGTTTTCTTTTGTTCTTATACTCCACATATGAGCAAAATCATTTGGTACTTGTCTTTCTCTGCCTGGCTTATTTCACTGAGCATAAT